TAACCCCTTCTTCCACATGAGCTGCTCCTTACGTTAATGTGATCTTCCACTCATGATTGATTTTAGCTGCTTCTGTCTTTTTGAAAATCTGCTCTTAAGGCAGAGGCTATGCTTCATGAATTTTAGATAATATAGTTAGGACATACAAGGTCTCCTGCCTGATGTGAAGGGAAGAGGGACAGACTGAGAAACACTGGCAAGGAGTTACTCACCAGTAAGACCACTCTGGAAAACCTTCACTGTGAAATGTTGATGAGTTGTCTAATTTACAGACTTGTTTTAGAGCAGGAGGGTTTCATTTCATTTTAAGTCTAGAATATAACAGGCAGAGATGTAGATAGGTTTGAAAAAGCAGAATTCCATAAACCAGTGAGAATCTCAAACCACGAGAAGCCTGAATTGATGATAATGTGTTGTGAGCACAAAGTATTTGAAAAGTTTAAGGTTTGAGTGCATGGAGGACACAAAAGAAATACTTTCCATATTCTTTTTCACAATTCACTTGCCTCAGCCTCCTGAGTAGCTATGGCTGAGGGCATGTACCACTGTGCCTGCCTATCTTGGGTTGGTGGCCGGTCAAACCCAGGCCTTCCATGTAGCCTCATCCTGCTGACTTGCAGTGTCTAGCAGTGCATGCTTCTGCAGCTGGGCCACTTGATTTTCTTTTTAGTTTGCAGTAGGATGTGTGAGCTCACTGGAGAGAGACTGAGAGAGACACATGCACACAGAGGGACAAAGTGAAGAATCTACCACCCAAAGGGGATGGCCATAACACAATCCTTTCTCCTTCATTCTCTTCTCAGAATGTTGGGCATGAACACACGCACATGCTAAGTGTAATTTTCAAGTCATTGGGTCCAGGATTCGAACCACACAGTTGGCCATGTGGGAGCCGGCCATCTTTACTTTCATGTTGCTTGTTTGCCCTGAAGCTGGGCCACTTTAAGTATCTTTTCATTTAAAATAACATTTTCTCCTGCATTCTCTTTAGGGAAATCAGGGTGCTTAAGGTTAGTAGCCTGGTTCATTCTCCTGAGCTTTTTGTTTAGCATCACCAGCTGCATGGTACCTACTCTCGTACTGATATGAACGCTTACTGAGGGCTCAGCACGAACCAGTAGCCATGCTGGCCACTTTAATCAATTTAAGCCTCATAGTAACCTGTGAGTTAGGTACTATTATTATTCCCCTCTGAGAGTTGGGGACACTGGGGCTTAAAGAAGTGAAATTAACATAGTAACATCTATCAGTAGAAAACTTGAGAATCAAGAATCATATATTTTATGTCAGGTTCTTTCAAATTCTAATTGAGATGGGTAGATAGTAAAGGTAGCCTTTGGGTTATCTATTAAGTGGTCGGAAGGTCATGACATATTTTTCTACATTTTTTCTATGTAAAAATGCATCATAACTTTTCTGACAACCCAATAGATTCAGGGAAGGACATAACAGAACAGATTCTGAACCTTTGACATGGGCCAATAAATCGAAAACCTCCACATCACATCTCCAAAGACCCTCCTGGGTAGCTGCAAACTTCTCTTCTGCTCTTCCCTTATCACCGAATACTCTCACCAGGAGGGTCAGGATCAGATAGAAGGTACCATGAAACGTGCCAAGTGTTAACCAGCATGTCTCTGGATGGCTCTATTAACAAGCAAAAAATTCTATTCCAAATGGTAGTGATGAAAATATGTATGTACACCATCCTAAACCTATCCACCCAGACTGATCCTTGCTTTAGGAAATATAACTTGAACACTCGTGAATAAATTGGCACAATTTATTTCAAAACCATTCTAGGGCAGTGCTCTCCAGTAGGTTATTCTGCAGTGATGAAAATGTTCTTGGCCCTGTCCGGCACAGTAGCCACGGGCCACCTGTGGCTACTGAATACATGCATGTGACTGTTGAGACCCAGGAATGAATTTTCAATTTTACTTGGTTTAAATTTAACCTGCCACACCTTGGGCTACTGTCCTAAAAAGTGCAGTTCTAGAAAGTAAAGGTCTAATTATAACATCCTGTAAAATTCTAAATATACCTGTTCCTCACAGTCTCATCATTCCTTTCTCTAGGTTGGGGAGTAAAAAAGGGGATAAAGAGGGAAGGGGGTGCTTGAGTCCAAAGGTAAAATCATTTTCCTTGTTTATCTGTCCCCAAGTCACGCTGTGTTTTATTGACAAAGTTTGGGAAGGTTGAAGATTTGGCAGGCCTGTCTGTCCCTTGCCTGCATGAATGTGTCAGCACCTCATTAATCTTGTGTTAAACTGTAAAAGCCCTTTTCCCTCCTCGGATGGGCCTATTTTTAAAGGATACTCTAGTATTCCTTTTGCATCTCACAGTATTTTATCTTCTTTTTTTCTTTAATTTACAAGTTGCTCTGTAAATGAACGTCAGTGTATGTTTTAATTAAATATCTCCTAGTCGTTTTCGATTGGAATGGGAGAAATTATTTTGGTGTAGACAAGTGGTGTCATGAGGTTTTTGAGGGACACGTCAGCTGTTTGTTTTCTAAAAATTAAAGGCATGAGGATTCTCTGTGTTAGTTTTCTCTAATTTTAAGTGATCTTTCAATGAAGTGATTCTATTACATGTGCGGCCCTGGCGATACTTCTTTTGCCCAGAAAAGAAAAACCTATAGGATATAGTTATTTCCCCCCTTCACCGTTTTTAATATTTTTGTTCAATGTAGGGTTTAGATGACAGCGTCTTTAAAAGATATTGAGTATTTTAAGCCTCAAGTCTTAAAGGTGCATGGCGAATTGTTATTGCTTTTTCTTTCTTTCTTTTTTTCTTAAGACAGACATCTAAAATAACCACTTTCTGTATTTCCTGACACTGGAAACAGACACCGTTTGGGATTCCTTTTATAGTTTCTTCAGCTAACGACTCCAGTGACCACTCAATTGTGGTCTTGTAGTAAATCAAAATTTCTCTGAAAGCCCCAGCTCTGTTATGTAATTATAAATGTCTTAGGAAGCTATCTCCTGAACTAAAAAAGAGAGTGAATGTCTGTTACCTTAAGTCATATTGACTCTGTGACTGCACATAATAGTTTTTGAAAATAAAATGACAGACCTTGTTGTCCTCCTCATCCTCCTTCTTCCCAGTTAGGCTGCAGTTGGCAAGGTACACACACACACACATGCTTCCAGCTGTGTCAGACCTGGTTGGTCAGTCATGAATGAAGAGAACCACTTTGAGAACTTCTTCATCAAACTTACAACTTGTGCCATGAATGACTAAATAGAATTTTGAGTTTCAGAATGACTAAGGAGAATACTCTGGGTCCCGGAATGGACCCTCAGTCATTACTATATGTTTTAATAAAATAGATCTAAAAAGTAAAATGAAGGTCGTGGTCCTCTCATGAGCGATGCCTTCCCAGCCAGTACTTTGTTGTCATCTTTGAGGCTGAGGGAACAGGGATTCAGCGACTGGGCTAGGATGCCTTTAGGCCAAAGAAGGGACCAGAGAAACTTTTAAGTATGGCAAAAGGTGGCAGGGCTGGGGGATCCATGAAGAAGAGCATTGACCAGGCAGGACTGGGCCAAGACCCAGTGTTTTCCCCTCAGCCCAGCTCAGGTGATGAAACTGCCTTGTTGCACAAGGCTCTAGAAGTCAGCGCCCCCTTTAGCCAACTCGGAGAAAAGGTCTCAGAAACTGAGGCCTCAGTGTGTGCCAATCCTTGTAAGCGGTTCACCTCTTCAGAGGCTAATGCCTCTCAAAACCAAGAACAATTAAAGCAAGAGTCTTTCCAAGCAACTGGGGAATTGAGCAAAATAAATCAGAAATTCTCAGCCCGGGCTCTGGAGGCTCGCCTCATTATGAGAGCAGATCTATTAGCCCTCTTGCCATTGTCTTTCATTTCTCAAGTGAGGTGATTCTAATTAAATTAATCTGCATGTCAATCTATCGGTGATCAATCAAAGAGCCTGAGGTTTCCCCTATGCTGCAGGATGCTTGCGGCTGACAGGGGCTGATAATGGAGGAAGAAATAAACTGTCGGGCAAAGTTAATTAGTCAACATAATAGGTGGATTAAACGGGAGCTGGTTGATTGCTGTTTCCCGTGTCGAAGCATGAGGTGGGAGCTGAAGCTGCAATTACAGACAATTATTATATTTGGTTGTAAGAGGTCGCATGAATAAACATATCTCTGTGGGTTTCAGTTTTAATCCCCTTCCCCATTTCATATAAGGAGAATTGTAGGTCATTTCTCATTGTTTCAGTCAAAGTTCTCTGAGACGACACCTTTGCCTGCGTCCTTCCTGGCAAACTGGGTTCAGTGTCTGCTCGTGAGATGGCCTCAGTGTCTGAATTGTGATCGGGGCCAGCCCCACATTTTTTTTTTTTCCTTCTTCTTTTTTCTCTGAACCAGATCTAAAACCCTTAATTAGTAGGGGTTTTTTTGAGTGGGTGAAGAGGGTGATGATAGTAGTGAGGGGGACTTCGGTCTGATTACCTAAACTAACGTGGGAAGAAAACTCAGAAAAGACAGACACCCAGGAGACAAAAATGCTTCCCACTCTCACTGAAACCTCTCTTTTTCATTTCTGTATCTTCTTAACCCTGACACAGTCGGGAGGGGGAAATATTTTAAAGATTCAAAAGATTTTTATTTGCATGATCAACTGTGATATCTGCTTTAGTGTCTACACTGAAGGGTAATTTAGGTGAAACACAACCGCCCTTGTGTAGGAAAAAAAAATATGCTAATAAAGATCCTCTTGTTAAAATGATGGTTAACAGTGTACCTTCTGCTGTATAACTATAAACTGTGCAATTTTACTTAAAACTGCATCAAAAGCGTTCCATGCCAAAGACCCACTCATCAATAGCTCCTCTTGTTAGACTTGTACAGCATAAGCACCAGTTATTATGTGAAATAGCTATGCAATTTTCTTCAGCTCCCAGCTGTTATTTATTTAACTTGAGTTTATTACCCGCCATGCTTTTATATTAAAATGTTCATTCATTTCTCTCTTGTGTCTCTAGGTCGTGGTATCTACAACAGTCAACGTGGATGGCCATGTCCTGGCAGTCTCTGATAATATGTTTGTCCATAATAACTCCAAGCACGGGCGGAGGGCTCGGAGGCTTGACCCCTCGGAAGGTACGCCCTCTTATCTGGAACATGGTAGGCGAATCATTTTCATTGGTTGGCATTGCTACGTTAACTGTGAATTTATTTGGTTTCTTTTCTTCCACTCCACCACATTTTCTACTGTTTCAAATTTCTAATGTCTTTTGAACAAAATCTGCAGTTTTTTTTTTTAACTCTTCAAAATGGAATGCTAAGTATTTAAAGACAGGAAAATATCAGGGGTCCACCCCTTCTTGTAAGATATTTTACCTTGGAAATGACTGACAGCTCTTTCCCGGAAAGAGGGAGACCTGGCTCATTGCTGTATTTTTGCCTGTATCCCTTCTGGTAAATGGCTATGGCTATATCTGTAGCAAAAATAAAGAAAGGCCTTGTAATTTTGTATCACAGAAGTTATGATATACTTTCAGGGTTTACAATTGACCAGCAAGATTATATAACAAACTCCTCCATACTATCTTGCTGTTGTAACCCTAACTATCTGTTGAACCCCTATTGGAGATCAGGTTCAAAATTTAGGTTGGAGGAGCTTTCGATATGAAGCTCAGACCCAAGGTTCCTCCTCTACCCTGCACAGAACCCTCCCCTCATCACCGTGTGACAGAAGCCACTTTTTGTAGGTAGGCTTTGATGGGGAGAAATCACATGTCTTGAGAATTATGGTCAATCAGTGGTGACTGCAAGAAGGCTGGAGGAAACCAGATAAAAATTTGAATCAAGGAAAGTGAATGCCACTCAGAAGAAGCATGGGCTGGATTGGGTGCATGTCTACATTTGAATTTTTCTGTGCTGCATGTGTATGTAAGGTATCTGTCCTTCCTTCCATCTGTCCCTGTATCCATCCAAACATATATCCCCAAATCAGTGGGATTTTATCGGACACCAGCCATCACATTAAACTTTCCCAGTCTCCTCAAATTAAACTCATCACCCATCTCCCTCACTGCATTTTCCAGTTTCTTAGGTCAGCAGGATTCTCTGAGAACATTACCACACAAATTATCACCTGATTGCCTGATTTTTTTTCATGGGCCATGAGCTGTCCCGAATGCAATTCATAAGGTGGAAAACTCTCTTCCCTGCCAGCATCCCCATTTAATAAACACTATCATCATTTTTGCCTGTTTTGTGTGTGTGTGTGTGCTTGAGCTGTGCACAAACTGTACTTTTTATTAATTAGCTAGACATAATGCTCTTAGAAGGGATTCTACCACATCCAGTTTTACAGTCTTTTTAAAGTAATCCATCTTTCAAAAGCTGCTTCTTTATGGTTTCATTAGGACTGAGATGGGTGGATATTACTTTTTGCAGGAGGCCATTTGAAACACCTGCCCGTGATTGCTTTCCTAGTTCCATTTCTATACTTAAAATGATTCTGATCCTCACTTTACAGTAATGTTGCCTTTTTAATACCCTTGGAGTCACAGTCACAGAAGGGATTGTGTGACTAGAGATGTTTAGATGAAAGGAAGGGGAAATAGGGATAATGTTGCCTTTTTAATACCCTTGGAGTCACAGTCACAGAAGGGATTGTGTGACTAGAGATGTTTAGATGAAAGGAAGGGGAAATGGGGAAAGACTCAGTGGGCACAATTTGGAGATCACTAGCTTAAGAACTGGAGTTGGGATTTTGACTGTGGTTGGTTGGCTACAAAGGGAACTGCCCTGTCTGAGGCTAGACTTAACCAGTAGTTTGAAACCTATGAGTCATGGGCTCATAGTTTCAAAATATGATCCAAGTGCTGGCCACATCCACCTCCCGTCTCTGCTCTTGGAAAGTCAGAGAAAGAACTTGTGATACCATGAAATCATCCCTCCAACAACAACAACAAAAACAAAGCAAACAAACAAAAATCAACTTGCTAGGAAGGAGAGCTCTAGGGGACAAAGGTCTGTAATATTGTTTTGCAACTTGATAGAGAGAACAGGAGTCACAAATTCAATTTCTAGTTTTACTTTTGCCTCTCTGTGACCTTGGACAAGTCACTGTAGCTTATGGGATCCTTGGTTTCCTTCTTGGTAGAATAAAGATGATCTGCAGGGGACAGGGGTGTTAAGAAAAAAGCAATATCTGTGCTTTGGGTGGGGGCAGGTCATGTAAATCAGGGAAGTTGGTGTGGGTGGAAGCTGTGAAGACAGGCAGGTGCATGCTCTGCTGACCCCCAGCTCCAGCCAATTGTCACTAAGGAGAGTGAGAAACCAGTGGGGTCGGATGTTCCAGCTTGGCAAGAATTAAAACTCTCCTACCTTTTAATTGTTGGTAACCAATTATACATCTTCAAACACTGAAGGGAGGAGAGGGAAAAAGAAGTCACAGGCACAATGCAGCCTCAGGCTAACAAGGTGAGACCTCTGGATCAGGATATCTTTCAGCTTCCTCCCAATTCTTTTTTTCTTTCTCAGTATTCTTTTTTTCTAGGAGTACATATTACTATTTCATGTAGGATGTCAGATTATTCTAAGTTTTAAACATTGTATTCCTCTGCTCCAGTTTACCAGTCCACGAATGGCCATGCCATTAGTAAGATATTAGTCAAGAAAATAATGACAATTTACTCTGCCTAAATGGTTAGCCATCATTTGGCGACAGGGACGTGTTCTATTTCCTTCAGCTAGGGGGCCTCGCATTCACCCAAACCTTGTTTCACTTCTCTCCAGTGGAATGGAAGGGGAAAGGCGTTCAGTGCCCAGGTAGCAAGAATGTAGAAATCTGCTTCTCTGAAGAGTGAACCAACCAACCACACATAACCACCCACTCATTTCGACACTTCAAGCTGATACATAAATATCTATGCAGTAAAGTGTGACTATTGAACTCTTTCATTGCTAATGTGTGGGAGTGGACCTAGATGCTAATTCATGTTGATCTGGGGGGTAAAACTTTATCTTTCCATTGAAAAGTCCTATTTAAGAATGCCCTGCTAAGACATAGAGAGTCATGCCCCACCTCACAACAGCCATTGCTTCGTGAAGCTACTGCAAAGCATTTTCACTTCTTGTGACCTGTGGGAACCTTTGTCTGTCCCCACTCTGGGCTTTTTACCATCTCATTTACAGGTTCTCTGAATTATTTTGAGCTACTCTGCATATCAATTTATACCCTGCTTGTCAGGCATTAGAGGAGAGTTCCTTTTGTGGCTTGTCTTTCTGCATTTAAGTAGAAACAGAGATCGTGGGTTACATGCGTGCACTGTTTTCCCTCTGTGACCCATGGACTCACCAAGCCTGTGCTCAGATAAATGGCCTTGTATTTCAAATATAGGGGTTGACAAAGGCAAATTTATTTCGAAGAATCTTGTGTGGTCCAAAGAGGCGAATCCTGGCACACTGTAGCTCATGGTAATTGCTCTCAACCTCTATTTCTTCTTCATTCATAAATACTGAGATTTTCTTTGGCTGGATATTTATGAGTGCATTTAGGCTGGTGAGGTTTCTTCTTTAAGCAATGGCTTTACGGAAGATGTACAGTTGTAGAGAGAGGCTGCCTCTAAATGGATGATGACTCTCAGGGTTCTAGTTTCTGAAAAAACGTAGTCTGTAGACCAAAGCAGCTAGTGGCCAGTTCCAGCTGGTATGTGTGCCTGTCCTTAGTCGCTTGGGCACATTCAAGGGGACTGTGTACTGGAGAGCTTTCTAGGGCTTGGCGGGGTTTGGGGGGGGGGGTTGTTGCTCTTGTCAGTGTTGCGCTTCTGAGTTGCAGGTTGTGTTTACTTATATTTAAGGCCAATTGTGGCATCAGTTTCTCTATTGCTTCCCTCTGTGGCAAAATGTGGTGGCCTCAGAATGCGATAGTGCAGAGACCCTGTCAGCATGCATGTGCTAACACTTTATTATCTAATGATCTAATATGCAACAAGGCAAAGTGCCGGTGCTCATCATTCTGACACAGAATGCCGGGAGAAGTGACTAAATTACTTTATGTACCATTAGCGCTAGCAGCTATGGTGAACTCACCGGCAGCATTTATGCAAATGGCTGTGAATACACTCTAGTGGCTTTGTCAGGAAGCCGACTGACAAGCAGTTTAAATGCTCATTTTTAACCATATGTATGTATATACTTTTTAATTTTGGTGTCCATGTATTTTTCTGCCGTTTTCCCTTCTTCTCTCCCCTTTTTTGAATTGCCCGAAGATTGCCTCCTCCATGATGGCTGGGGAAATCGGAGCAAGTCTAAGAGCTCAGAGGCCATCATTCAGGGTCTTTTTCATTGAAGGTCTCAATTTGGTGTTTTTCAGATCTAGAATTTAAAAAAAATGTTATGAATCTGTACAGTCTTTATACTTATTTGAAAAAAAATCCAAGTGGAATTATTAATCAAGAGTTTTTAGAATATGAATATGTTCATTAGTTCTGACCTGAAGTCCTACTTAGTTTTTCAGCTCAAATGTAGATGCTTTTAACCATGTGCACTTTTTATAAATGAAAAATGATTGAAATTTAGCTTTTCTGGGCATCTAATATGAGTGAATTAAATTTCTCTTCAAAGTAAAGATTGTGACATGAAATAAAAATGTGCCAGGATCCCCAAATAAAACAAATCAAAATAAAAGTGGGGTTTGGTCAAACTAAAATTATTTTGAGGAATAAGGAGCGGTGACTAGGGCCAGCAGGTGGCATGGTGGTTAAGGTGCTGAACTCCCACATGGCCAACTACAGTTTGAGTCCTAGACCTGGCAGCCTGCTTTCTCACTTTCCCTCTCTCACTCTCTTTTTCTGTTTCTCTCTGGAGAACACATGTGCCCTATAGTAAATTTAAAAATAATAATAAATAAAATTAAATAAATAAGTCTTTAAAAATGTATTTTTAAAAATAAGAACAGTGTAATAGACTTGCTGAGCCTTCCCTTCTTGCTGTAATTATTGCTTTAGAGACATGGAACCGGGTTTTTATCACCATTAGTTAGTTCTGACTTCTTTGTTACGGTATCCCATTCCAGCTGTCCTTGGCAACATGGAATTATTATTATTTTATTTAGAATTGTTTAATTTTATTATTATCATTATTATTATTATTATTATTATTAATTTACT